AACACGACCTCGTGCGTTACAACAAAATATACCAATATTTTAAAGCCAGATTACATATTATTTATATTAACTCGAAACCAGCTTTCCTCGGTTGTAAGGGAAGGAACGGAGGCAGGAGCTACGGTGATATAACAAGGAGTAAACTTGTTGGCCAATTTCCCTCTTTCGTCGCCATTTTTTTTTTTTCACTACAGAAATATGCGGACGTCCTCGAAAACACATCAATTTCGTGGGAAAGCCTGTTCTAAAAATAATTCTTTACGGGAATGGGTTGACTCAAGGGTACAGCCAGGGTTATGGGCTCCTGGTGACAGCACATATGGAGGCTCCAAGTAATCGACTCCTGGTGAACCCTTGTTGGCACAACCATATTAAATATGCTTCTTTCATTCTCCCTTTCACCGGCTTCATCCGACCCACGCACTATCTCCCCTCTAAATATAACAATTCAAATCACTTTACTTTAAATCAGTTAAAGAATATAGTTTGCAATTTTCTGTGTGGATTACCGCATTGTTTGCTAAACGTAACTAAAACACTTCGATGACTATAATTGTGCAAAATGCTGGAAACGTTTTCCAAATGGGACGCCATTTTCATCTTTCTGAAATGGGCATGTAATTTCACCGACAACAAACCATTGCACAGGGAAAAGCCGTAGCAAGGTTAGATTTGTTGGAGGGGCCAATCAAGAGCGCCGAAGGCGCGAGCTGCTAAGGTGTCCGGGGGTCTCTGCAATAGCATTTTCAGCCTTCGGAGAGCATTAATTTTCAGCAGTTTTTCTTTGTTGAAGCCATAAATAAATAATTTTGACGCTTCATCGAACCGAAGAGCAGCGTGAAGAGCGCGGCAACTGACCAAATTAAACTGCCAGTCAAAATTATTAAGGGACTCAGGCCCCCGGCCCCTTTTCCATACTACGGCACTGACACGCATTGCCACTGAGGATTATTGATGCATAATTGGATTTCTTCATTCCCTCAAATGGGCTTATTTCTGCAAAATTGGGTCAAATAATAGAGTCGAAGTCCTCTAAAGAAGAGAAATCACACTGCCATTTTCCAAACTGTTCATCCCTTTCCCAGTGCAGTAAATCCCACTTTCCCACTCCAAAAAAAGGTGAAAGTCCCTAAATTGTATTTTACGCTTTCAGTACCCTCTTATAACTGTTACATCACGCAAGGAATAGTAAGTTACAGTTTTTTACTCAGCAACAACTTATTTTGTTCAAATGGGAACCCAGACCATATGTTAAGACAACATTGAATATGGTCAATCATAAGATAATCAATCTTGGAGATCCAACTGATGATATAGATGCTGTTAACAAGCAGTTTTTTGAACAAGAGATCCAAATATCTCATATTAAACCAAGTCATAAAACAGACAAGTTCTCTTATTTAATGCAAAATACTTTGGAGTGGTCCGATGTAACCCCTGGTGGAAACAGTTTTAACATGACAAACATTGCTGATTTATCACCAAAACAAAACAATATTCACTCTTACAATCACAAAGTAATTTACACCACTATGATAAAAAATTCAAAAGGAGGTTATGGTTACAAGATGGGAATTCAATTCTTCAGATTGCCAAAAGATGTTGATTATACTCTCTGTATTGAGATTCAAGTTACAGATTATCGGTTGTGGCATAACTCGAGAATTTCAGTTGATAATTAAGGCCACATCAAAAGGGTTAACCATCGGAAATGTGGTGGTGAAAAAACTCAGTCACAGATATACCAATTTAAGCGACAGTATTGAACTTATGTATTATCACAGGGTCATAGTCAATTTACGAAAACTGCGCCAGACCCACTATACCAGCTCCATTTGTTAGTTAATATCCCCCAAGATGGGGACGATTTACAGACTTATGCACAAAATTTTACAGGAAATTACTTCGTCGCTTATGGCGTAATCGGAGAAATGAGTGAAGTTGACAGTGATAAAACTTATGATTACCGTACAGCGTATGATATTCAACCAACAAAAGTTGTTATGAACGTTGACCTGGATATGAACTAAAAAATATATATAACATTGTACTTGATGAAACGCAAGATGAGTCCGCGGCTACTGTCAAAATGGTCAAAGTGTAAAATCATTAATCATTACCAACTTGTATGAGGAAATATTTGACCAAGTATTTGATGTCAGTGATGTTAAATCATTAAGAATTGTTGGTAAGGTTTCTGGTGTTACCAAGCAAATGCAGGAATCACTTTAACCGGAGTATGCTTAATAACACCGACTAAAACACATATCTTAAATGATAATTTTACTGCAGCCTGTGTTACATATTATGAAAATACAACAAATTTTATGTTTAAAATCAACGGATCTAATCCTATGGCTCAATTTATGGTTATCAATAATAGAATGGAAATAAGAGCCCATGAATGGCAAAATCTGGATCAACTTACAAAATGGCCATTTCAAACTATTCTGGGACTATTACAACTTCAAACCTGATGTATAGTCATAGCACAAACGAAGCCTTATTAAATTTGAATACAGAAAAACTCTACAGAGTAATGATTGCTAATAAATGTTATGATTTTTGATAGCTGAGCCGTGATATCATATGATGTTTATCTTATTGAGGAAAAAAGGTGGAACATAATTATATGATATAAATAATCTAATACACTAATATAGATGACTAAAAAGGATATATGCCATTTCAACCACATTGATTCAAATATTAATGAAGAAAAATGAAGGCAAATCAAAGATCTCTACTCTTATTACCATAAAATAACTTGGATTTATCAACCCTCACACAATAGGAACAAGAAAATAAATTATGCTGTAAATATACTAAGCGTTTTACTTGCTAGCAGTGGAGTTATAACGGGGGGTATAACATTGAATCCAGTTGTATTATCTGGTTTAACAACAGCCGGCATACTATTAAAAAGTTATCATGAATTCAAAAACATAAAGGGTAAGACTGATTTACTAAAATTCACCGTTACGTCATATGAAAACTCTTAACCAATCTCGGAGAGGCGATAAGAGGGGAGAATGGGATTATAAGCAATTCATTCATGATATGAAAATTCTAAATCAAGAGATCCTGGATTTATTACCTCCCTCCTTCAGATTTCAAAAAAAAAAAATACAATAAAAAACTCACATCATCTGTGTGAGCTTTATTTTAGGTCATACAAGGGGAATCCCCGTTTTTATGACTTCATGTCTATACTAAATCACGTAATATCATTTTTAATTAGCCCGTAGATAATAATTCCTCGCGAAGCGAGGCAAGGAGCGCCGAGCGAAGTGAGTTTATAACCTCGTCGCGCGCGAAGCCCGCGCGCAGTACGTGAACCGCGTGTGGGTCTAAGCGAGCTGCAAACTCGCAGCTCTCATCTTTACTTGTATATATACGATGGTGTCCGCCATGACGTTATACAGTAGTTTGACGTCACAGCATACTTTTGTTTCTAGGCAACATTCGACTGACAGCGATTTCGAATTCCCATCAATGACCAAAGTATTCATGAAGAACTGTCTTTTCATCGTCTGCAAAACAATGTTTACTATCGGTGAATCTCAAGACATTTCTCATGCAAACAGAACAGCAAACACAAGAACGCCGAATTTTCAATCCTCGCAGGGGAAGATTTCACACCGAAAAATCCTCTGGAGCGAGAACGCCGACTTCAAATTCAACGGCTCAAGCAACAAAGATGGAGACGCTATCAACAAACAGCGGAGCAGAGGGAACATCACTCAATGAATTTCAAATGCTAAAGTAATTTAAGAGCAAATGGAAGCGATTTTGGATAATTAGCCTTAACATATGAGCGAGCATCGCGCAGATAACAAAACACGTTTTTGCTCCCAGACGAGTTTATACCGTATCGGCCTAGACTGTTGCGCTTCCATTCTTTACATGTAAATACGATGAAATGCATTTACGTTGGGTTTTCACTGTCGAAACTGCAGTCATTCTTCTGAAAAATATCTTTCAATTCACGTTTAGTAAGACTCGAAGGTTTCAATAATAAAATTTCGACAAAACCTCGCTTTGTGTGCCACTTGGCCTAGTGGTAAAGCTTTTGCCCGGTGCGTCGAAGATCCTGAGATCGATTCCGGGCATAAACTTTTTCTCTTCTTTTCTTTTCTTTTCTTTTCTTCATTTTTTTTCTTTTCGTTTAGTTTTCATTTTAGGTATAACAGTTTTGTTATGTTTCTATACACAATTTTTAGATTTACAAATTTTCTTCTCGGCTTTACTTGCCGTTCCCCCGAAGTCCTTCGCGAGGTCAAAATCATTTACTGCTGCACCACAACTAGTACAGACAATATGCGAATATGTCACTGAATATGTCACTGATTAAATTTGGACGGTCGCAACATTTTGGTTCTATTCTTTTTGTTTCTTCTAATTTTCTATTACAAAAGGCACATTCAATGTTGCCATCTTTTTTAAACTCTGAATGAAGCTCTTTACAGTACATTTATACTATTATATTAGAAATACGTAAATCGCAGGACCTCGCGAAGGACTTCGGGGGAACGGCAAGTAAAGCCGAGAAGAATATTTGTTCCGTTGCGCGCGCGACGAGATTATAAGCTCACTTCGCTCGGCACTCCGCGCCTCGCTTCGCGAGGACTTTAATACACTTTGCCTCTGACATTGCGTAGAACAGACATTATCGTGAGAGAAAACCCCCTTAGAGGAGACATAAATCGCATCCCACATTAAAGAGAAAATTAAATTGGAGTTAAATATAAGGCTCGTTTTATATAGTGATGAAATGTACCGCTAGAAGGTATAATTAAGTTAGAAAAACGCGGGATTATATTAGCCTGTAAACAAAATCTGCCGTCAAGGGACAGCTGTGCCGGCTATTCTTACAGTTACAATCCAAATCATGAGTCTAAGCACAATAACATGATGACGTCACGGCACAGCTGTACCGACCTATAATATAACTTCCTGTCTTTCTGACAATGTCATGCCCAGGGTCAAACTCTAGTGTTTTATTTTGTAGTGGCCATATGCATAACCAGTTTTACCATAAGCGAGGATATCTTTCTGAGTTCGTAGCTGCCCAATTGATGGCAAACACTCCTGACTGTTTTCATAGTATGATAGATTTGCTTATTATTTTGGAGAGTATCTTTGTAGTCTTTGTGGGCGATATTCTTTTTGATCAAATACTTTCTTATACCTTTAGCAGTCTTTTCATTTTTACCAGTATCTTTTACATATGAATGCATTTTACTTTTGAGCCCAATAAAACTCAGTGATTGGAATACCAGCAGCCTCATCTTTGGACTTGCCAATTGTTTTTTTATTAGTTGGATCAAAGTATGAACTATCTTTGGCGTAATCAAACTTGTCTTTCTCGGCCCAAAAATCCTTGTAAGCATCTCCAGTCTCTATTTCATCACACAAACTGTCTGTATCAGTAAACAATAACATGGCTCTACTGACTTTTCCTTGACATAATTATAGTGGAAATCATACATTAGTGTCTTTGACAGATCCACAATACACATTCCAACATAGGCTGGCCTGTCTAGTGTCAGTGTTTCTTTTATTTTATGAACCGTCACAAGGTCGTCATTGAATATTTTACTGTTAATATACGTCGGCTTGGATACTAATTTGGATAATTTCTTTTTGTCCGTAACAAGTCTTACATCAACTCTCTTTCTGAGAGATTCCATCGTTTTTCCGAACACACTGTTATTCATGTGCTTGGAATGCTTAGCATTCATTCGCCTCTGCGTATTGAAATCAATATACTGTTTCAACCATGGTGACTGATCAAACTCTAATACGCGATGTACCTTCTTTAGTTTCAACCCCAAAGACAAATATAGCTGCAAGTTTCTGTGAGGCCAACCTACTTTTCCTTTTTACCCAGAGTCGAGTAAGCTTAGATACTTGCCCAATACTGATTCAATACTTGTCTCTGATCATTTCACTCTCTGATCATTTCACAATAGAGTGACAACATCTCTTTGTTGACTTTCAATTTTTCCGCAGCAAGAGGATAATCATTATCCAGCTTGTGCAAGGAGCTCGGATATTCCTAATCAACCTCCAGTTATCATATCTTTCTTACCATCTGCAGCACAGGTTGCCGCATGCCCTGTACGCATAATTTGAGGTTCCGTGACCTTCTCACCCAGGCCGCGAGAAGCCTAGGTTCTAGTAATAAGTAATTCATACCCAGCAAAATCTCCGGCATGCCGGTCATGCCAAATTTCTGGCATGCCCGGCATGCCAAATTCTCTGGCATGCCGGGCGTGCAATAATCTGGGTCATGCCGGGCATGCCAAAATCGGTCTCCGCCATGCTCTCAACGCACAGGTTATAAATCCTTGAATCTACAGATATTTTAAACCTGGCTAAAAAAAAAAAAAAACTAAACAGATCACAGTGCTTATCTTTTGATGTACGGTTACACGATGACGTCATTGTTGTTCGTTTCATTTTCATAGATTTGGTTGTCCCAGCGAAGTTTAAATAACAAAAGTTCTAATTTTCACAAGAAAGTAAAACCCTGAGGGATTCTGCCGCAGTAATAAAACAGCGTCATCGTGGAGATGTCCTGTTGGGGGATTGTAAAAACTCCTCACTCCTTTTAATGAGTCTTTAATAGGATTCCCATTTCACATTGCGACTAAAATGGAATTGACTGAAATCAGTAAAAAGAGAGACAGAGACTATTTTCATTGTATAATAAAATGCATCTATATTCCATGAAAGCTTTTAAAAATACAAGGTTATAGCATATCTTTCAAAGTTCATTACAAACTGAGCGAAGCCCCAAAACCACTGTTCATTATTCAGTAAATTATGATGTTTGACAATGCAATGTGCTTGAATATAACTTGCAATTACAAATCTCTCTAACGCAATTTTCCTACGTTAGAAAAGCTGTTTTTATCTTGTTTCACATTTTGATAAGGAGTCTGAGTTCCTCTTTCCTGTTTTGTAGGCTTGCCAGGGATTAATGTTTTTGTGTCATTACCAGTGTCTGTGTTCTTTGTTTTTAATTCAAAGTAAGTCAGTAATAACTGACAGTATCAAAGAATTGCTCTCTAGAAAAGTAATTATCTCCTCGTCACGTCTGGAAGTTACCTGTAACAAAAAAGAAATGGAATGTTAACACATGCAAGGGCAATACGGAAAAAAGAAATAGAACATGTAGAGCTCAGCTTCTCTTAACATATTTTCATCCTGGCTTGTTGAGTCTGTTAAAGGTCGCAACTAATTGTCTGAGGCTAATTTCACAAGATGGTGCAATTGAGATAAATGCATGGTAAATAAAGTGAAAGAAACGTGGTTTCACATCAGCCAATTTACATTGCGTCGTTCGATGATGTTTACACGCTCTTCTACTGCGAAATAAACCTTTGCATTTGGATTTGCAAGTCAAGATTATGCCGAGTTTGACTGATACTTAACTGAACAACAGTTTCATTTTTAAGCAGGTAAGGTGTAGTCTGCTACACAACCGTCTTAGAGTCATCACGCAACGCTCCTCCCCACTTTGTGAGGGAGGAGCGTTGCGTGACGACACTTTAAACGGTTGTATAGCAGACTAGGCAGGGTGTAGACCCACATAAAGCCGGAAATTGTAAAGGAAACTCATTGAAAACTTTTTCGCATTTTTTTGTTGCGATATTCTCTCACGGCCCGTCAACTGATTAGGGGTTGCGAAGAAAAAGTAAATTAGGACCAAAGGTTAAAGCCTGTCCGTTACATCATTTCGTATGTTACCTAGAGTTCTAATAAGCGAATTTGTTTCTCAATCGGTGTATAAAAAAAGTGAAGCTATCAAATGAGAAGTTTATAGAGTATCAAAATTATCAAATTAAAAGCTCATATAATTAGGAAAATTCCTAAACGAAAATAATGCTAGTCTGTAATTTAACTAGTCTATTTTAAGAGTCTTTTATACAGCTTATTTTCGGAGTTACAAACGAAAACAAAAACGCATTTCCATTTAAAAAGCCGGGTGTTTCGTTTCAACTTTTTCGCTGATAATCTTAGTCTTTTACATTGAACATGTTTATTAGCTTAGTTTTCGTCCGTTTTCAAAGCTTTATAACCCAATCATAATTTTCGGGTTAAAATAGTACAAAATCATTTCAAAAGCCATGTTCATTTAAAGTGGAGCCGGCAAACGCGAACATTTTGTAATTCAAAAGTCGGACCCAGCCAGGTTGTTTAAGCTTAGAAACACAGCGTAGAATTGTTTGCATTTTAGCGTCCTATAAATTTACCAGAATCGCCTCTCAGAGGCTTACTGTAGCAAAGCATTTTGTAGTACACTCGTAGATAAGCAATGTAAGCCTTAAGTCTTTGCTTGGATGAGATGTCCAAAAGAAAAATTAGTTTTGTGGACCTAAATGCACATTCACAGACTGCTTATATTGAGTTGTTTACAACTTTGCATTGACACCTGCAGCATGTTCATTTTTTTAAAGCGAAATCTAAATCTGATTTTGGCATTTGATTTACGGATATTTTATTTTGTCTCCAAAAGTGATTGTAATATCCGTTTGATTGTCTTTCAAACAACAGTCAAACTATGCGGCAAAAATAAGTTACTTTACCAGTACAGTGAAAAAATATGACCGTAGGTGCCAAAAATGATTATACTCGAGCTATAAAATTAGATCTGACTTTTTTTAGCTTTGGTTTCTATATTTTTGAAGTTTTCTCTAGTCTTCTTAGCAGCAGAAGAAGATTACAAGACATGCAAACAGAAACAATCCGAAGTGAACGAGTTGATGCCGGAGTTCTTAGGCATGCTCAACAGCAAGATAAACTGAATGCCAAAAGGCTAATTCACGGGATTTGTTCGATATTAAGGCTTTTTCTTTACCAAATTAATACTAAATTTGTACTTACAGTCTCTCACAGAATCCATTTCTTGTCCAGCATTCACCAACATCTCAACCATGCACCGCAGAAAAAAAAAAAAGACAAACAAGTGCGAAGAGACATGACGACATCGTGAAGCCACAACTGCCACGCTACAACAAACTAGATTCATCCTCCTCCGAAAACACATCTGCGGAAAATCGGCCCATGTCGTGCGTGCCCGGGGTATTCTCGGATTGCGCAGATGACTTTGCTCAAAGGACTATCGTTAGCAAGGAGTAAAACAGGTTGTGAGATTCGCATAGCCTACAAAAAGCGCACCGAAAAAATAAGCCAAA